CAACCCCTGAGCAGTTGACTACTGTTGAGTGCAAGCCATGCCAATAACAGAAACAGCTGAATAACATATATTTTGTATGTTACATGTATTATGTACTGTCTTCTTGAAATAAAGGAAGCTAGAGAAAAGAAACTGTCATTAAGAAAACCATCATAAGGAAAATACATTTAAAGTACTGAACTTATTTATCGATACTATAAGTTTATTTCTTTTGCTTACAAGATGAATCCCCATCTGAAGTGGTAGCAACTGCCGCTGCAGACCTCAATCTATTGTACTTATTAAGCAATTCAACTTTTTCTTGTAATGTCATGACTTTTCTCTGCTTCTGGGGAGCACTTACAGCATCACTAGTGGCACTTTATGTACCACAGTGTTATTCAAGTTTATGGTAGTGCACTCAACACAACTGAAAATACACAGGAACTGATTACTTTTTACTACGATACACAGTTTACTGGAGAGACAGCTGCTCTTGTGGAGATGATTAACATGACATGTTTTAAGTGGATACTCTTTTTTTTTCTTTTGAGACAGAGTCTTGCTCTGTCACCCAGGCTGAAGTGCAGTGGCCCCATCTTGGCTCACTGCAACCTCCGCCTCCCGGGTTCAAGCAATTCTTCCTCAGCCTCCTGAGCAGCTGGGATTACAGGCATGTACCACCATGCCCAGCTAAATTTTGCAATTTTAGTAGAGACAGGGTTTCACCATGTTGGTCAGGCTGGTCTCGAACTCCTGACCTCAGGTGATCCACCCACCTCAGTCTCCCAAAGAGCTGGGATTACAGGCATGAGCCACAGCACCCAGCCCTTAAGTGGGTACTCTCAAAACACTTGAGCTCACTGCAATAGCAACGGGAGGTGCCATGAAATTAGTACAATATGTACGAGTTACACACAGTTACGATTTAATGCTGCATTTTTATGTTTGTTTCAGTTTCTCTCAACTGTGAATGGTGCGATGGTCTGTGTTTATATGTGTTTTGATAAATTTTAACTTTTTATAATACATTTGTGGGGTGGGCGCAGTGGCTCACACCTGTAATCCCAGCACTTTGGGAGGCTGAGGATCACCTGAAGTCAGGAGTTCAAGCCCAGCCTGACCAACATGGTGAAACCCTGTCTCTACTAAAAATACAAAAATTAGTTGGGTGTGGTGGCTGGCGCAGGAGAATCACTTGAACCCGCAGGAGGCTGAAGCAGGAGAATCACTTGAACCCGGGAGGTGGAGGTTGCAGTAAGCTGAGATCATGCCATTGCACTCCAGCCTGAGCCACAAGAGCAAGGCTCCATCTCAAAAACAAAATTATAATACATTTGTGTATATTTTATGGTATTAAATGATAAAATAGATTAGTATCTACATATTTTATGCATTTGGCATGCCTTTTTCTTAATTTTCCAGTATTTCTAGGCTATACAGTTTATCCGTGTTTTTTAAATTGCTGCAAATCTCCGAAACATTTTCCAATCCAATATGTAAAGGAAAAACCCATGTGTAAGTGTATGCACAGAGTTCAAACTTGTGTTGTTCCAGGCTCAAGTGTACCATCTTTCCCAAGAAATGCCTGAAGGGAAACACTAATGGTAAAAGGTCTATCTCCTCAGTGTCACCAGACAGACTCTTCAAGGAATAAAACCTTCTCAGGTGTCAATGTCCTTCGGGCAGAGATCTCCAGGAACGCATCTGTAGTTAACCAAGTTGGAAGTATTTCTGGTTGCAGTGAGGAGGAACACACACCTCGAGGAAGCATGGGCCGCCTTGGTAAGAGGGTGTTAAGAAAGAACATATTATAGGATTTGGGCTTTGTGGTGATTTGGGGGAGAGTCTAAGGAAGCAGGACTATGCTCTAGATTGGATGCCGTCAGAAAGCTGGGCCAAGTCTATGACTGTGTCAGCAGGAAAACGTATCCGAGACACACAATATATGTGTCACCTCAAAATATGTTACCAGTGGCAAATCCCTAAGGGTCTGCAGCAACCTCAATTCTGGCCTCCTCAGAATAAAGTATTCAACTGAGGGGCATAAGGCAGAAGGAGAGACCAAGGCAAGTTTTAGAGCAGGAGTAACAGTTTATTAAAAGCTTTAGAGCAAGAACGAAAAGACGGAAAGTGTACCTGGAACAGAGCCAAACAGGAGACCCTAAGGCAAATATGCAGCTTGATATTTTGACTTGGGTTTTATTTTGTTTTGTTTTCTTTTGAGACAGACTCTTGCTCTGTTGCCCAGGCTGGAGAGCAGTAGCGAGATCTTGGCTTGCAACCTCCACCCCCCAGGTTCAAGCAATTCTCGTGCCTCAGCCTCCTGAGTAGCTAATTTTTGTTTTTGTTTTTGTTTTTTTGTATTTTCAGTAGAGATAGGGTTTCACCACATTGACCAGGCTGGCCTCAAACTCCTGACCTCAAGTGATCTGCCCGTCTTGGCCCCCCAGAGTGGCTGGGATTACAGGCGTGAGCCACTGTGTGCCTGGCGTTGGGGTTTTATACATTGGCTTACTTTCAGGGTCTTGCATTACTTCTTCCCTGATCCTTTCCTTGGGGTGGGCTGTCCGCATGTGCACGCTTGAGCCCACTCACCCAACTCTCCTGAGCTCTCACTGGGCAGCTGCTGATCACTAGTTTCAGGTGTTTTCTATCTGGAGACAGCTGGTCTCTGGTCACAGCTGTGACCAATTATTATTTTAGCGAGACAGTTAACAACCACTCGACCATCACCTGATGGTTGCCTGACCAGCTACCCACTGTAACAAGATTCTGATCTTGGGCATCTCAATTTTATCTATAGAGAAGAGACTAGCATGAGAATAAAGTTGTAATTTGTAAAGAAGTAGTAGTTATTTGTTTTGGTCAAGAAAAAGATGTTGTATTTTGTAGTCGGTAAAGTGACCTTTTTTGTCTGTAGTTAGAAAAGCTTAATGAGGTGGTTTTCTTTTATCATTGTATCATGATTTCAGAGTGACCTTGTCTGAGGCTGCTGTTTTGTGAGATTATTTCCATCCAATAGGAGAATAACAAGACCTAGCTGTGAGTGCTGGGCCAGCTTCTGAATGTTCAGGACTCTTTCCTTTTTCTTTCTTACATGTTATTTTTATAATAAATTTTTCATTTGAATATAAGATACATACAGAAAAGTACATAAATTATAAAAGGAGTTTGAGACCAGCCTGGCCAACATGGTGAATCCCCATCTCTACTAAAAATATAAAATTAGCCAGGCGTGGTGGCAGGCACCTATAATCCCAGCTACTCGGAAGGCTGAGGCAGGGGAATCGCTTGAACCTGGGAGGTGGAGGTTGCAGTGAGCCGAGATCACACCATTGCACTCCAGCCTGGGCAACAAAGAGTAAAACTTCATCTCAACAACAACAACAACAACAACAAAGAAACAACGTATCCAACTTTTAGAAGTCCCTTCATGCAGATCACCAACCCTAAGGTCATCCACTCTCCTGACCCTTAACACCACAGATTAGTTTTGCCTGATTTTGAACTTTTTATGATTAGAAACATATAATACATGGTTTTTGGAGTATAGGCTTCCTGGATTCAACATGATGTTTGAGATTCATTCATGTTGTTCTGTGTCACTGTAATTAGTTCATTCTCACTGATGAATAGTATTGCATCATGTAAACACACCACAGTTTATCCATTCTAGTGTTGATGGACATTCCGGAGCTTCCAGTTTGGAGCAATTAGAAATTAGTTCATATTGCTGCTAGGAATGTTTTTGTACATGCTTTGGTGAAAGCCAGGTATATATTCCCACTGGGGAGGAGTTGAATTGCTGTGTATTTATGTTCAGCTTTAGTAGATAGTGCTAAACATTTTTCCACAGTGGTTGTACCAATTTATGCTTACACCAGCAGTGTAAGAGAACATGGGAAACCAGGTTATGTAAACTCTTCCAGAATACAGGTAAAGATGAAAACTTCTAATGCATTCTACAAGGATTCTTTTACTTGATACAAAATTGGGAAAGTATAGAACAAAAGAAAAAATATAGGTTAATGACATCTTTAAATGGAGATGTAAAGTTAATAAAGTATTAGCAAACTGAACCTACAAATATTTTTTTTTAAAAAAACCACCAAACCAGGACCAGAATGGGTTTATTCCAGTAACAGAAGTTATGCTCAAAAATTAGGAGGAATTTTGAATTAATGCATATTAATTTACCAGTGTTATCGTTACTATATAATTCATTAAATCCCAAATTTATTTTTCGTTAATATAATTAAAATAGAAACTCTTGTTAATATAATTCCTTTCGAAGACTAGAGAAAAGCAAATAACCTCCAAAGCTGCCAAAAAAGCAGCTGACAGTAATCAATTCTCACTTTAATAAATTCTAGAAACAGAAAGATATAAATGTCCATGCATCTCTCCTTCAGTCTGCTCTTCGAGTTCATCATCCATTATTACCCCACATGCAGGCTAACTTCTTTTTCCTTGCTCCTCCACTTACTAGCTGTGCAGCCTTTGACAGGTTACTTAACCACTCTGTGCTGATTTCCTCTGGGTAAAGAGTACCTACGCTGTGTAGTAAGGATCAAGTCCTCGATACACTATTGTTAATCACTTTTTAATGGCCAGAATTTGGTCATTAAACATCCCTTTGCTTGGATTATGAGCACCTTGACAGCAGGGACTAACTGGAAATTTCTGGAGACTTAAGAATGTTTGTTGAACCCTGATTCAAGCTTTCTCACTTTCCTGTGTTCTCTCATTACTTCCTCATCCTGTCAAGCCGTCTTTCCACCTCTTGCAAGCCTAACCCCGATGAATAACCATTCTTTACAACACCTTCTTTGCACTCTTCGTAAAGTGCTCATTACATTGAGTACTAAATGAATATACAGTGTGTTGTTGTGTTTAACATCTAGGTCATAACCACTCATAACGTTAGAGTTGAAAAAGTTTTGTACGTTCCTCTAGGGCAGAACTGTGACGTATTTCTGGTTCCACTTTATAGCGTCTACAAAGCACAGTGGCAAAGTCAGAGCTCGGGATGAGAACTGCTCTAAGAAAGGCGCGTCCCGCACCCTCCAAACCCTATTCTGAAAGCCCGGAGAGGTGCGGGCTCCAAAGATGTGGAGAGCAAAATATGTAAAGGAGTGATTCCGCTCACCAGTCACACAGTGGGGCGGGACAGCCCCATCTCGCAGTTTCTCATTATTCAACACGGAACCTAACGCGCTGCAATAGACGCGTGCGCAAGACTGTTTGGGGGCGTTTTGGCGCTTAATCTGGGGCAGGCGGAACCTTAGTCCTCATCCCTGAGTTTCCCGCGACTCTGCTCTCACCGCTACACCACCACACGGACGACCTCCTTCCCCCACCCCCGGGGATTCATCCCGGTGGCGGGCTCCGGAGTTCGAGACTGCTAATTTCAGCGAAACGATTAACGCCCCAACGGCTGACGGCACTGCCTCTCCTCCGGTAGGGAAGGGCATGCAGCGTATAGTCACCCACGCTTCCCCGCCGGCGCAGAGCAGGCCCCACTGAGGCGCGCGCCGCCGGCACGCACGCCGCCCCGCCCCCTCGGCCCGTCGCCACCCGCGCGTAGCGCTCGCCTGCATCCCCCGCCCTCGACCCCCGTGCTGTTGGAGGGGCCCGAGGTGAGCCAGATACCGCTGTTGTCCGGAGGGAAGCCAGAGAAGACCGAGTCGATTGGGCGGAGCGGCAGAGGGTCGGAGACTGCCCTAAACGCCCAGGAGTAGAAGTGGACAGGGGGCAGGGGGCAGGGTTACGTGAGGGAGCGCGCAGCAACTGAGCTTGGGTCCGACTGGAGCTCGGGGTCGGGACCCAGACTGGTGGGCCAGGTCTCCAAGCCGGCCTTAGCCCGAGTCGAGGAGGAGAGACCGGACACAGAGGGACGGAGCGAGCAAGGAGACATGGCTTCATCATTCCTGCCCGCGGGGGCCACTACCGGCGATAGCGGTGGAGAGCTGAGCTCAAGGGACGACTCCGGGGAGGTGGAGTTCCCCCATAGCCCTGAGACCGAGGAGTCCAGTTGCCTGGCCGAGCTGTTTGAGAAGGCTGCCGCACACCTGCAAGGCCTGATTCATGTGGCCAGCAGGGAGCAGCTCTTGTACCTGTATGCCAGGTACAAACAGGTAAAGTAGCAGGGAAACGGTGGATGGGGAAGAAAGACACGGGGCCTTCTTCCTCAAAAGCTGATAGCAAGTATGTGTGGTTAATAGCTAGGTGTAATGAAGCTTGTGTATATGTGTTTTGTTTTTTGACCATCTCGGGATGAGCATCATACTTGATGATGGCAAAAACGTGTTTGCTTTCCTAGGAGTGATATTTACTTAGCTGGACACTGAAAGGCAGTTTTTCTGTTTCTTCTTTGACTTATTCAGTGTCTTGCACTTTACCAGCCTCAGAACCTTTACAAAATGAGGATGATAAAATAAGATTTATCAATCATTTACTCTTTCCAAAGGGCCACATGGAAGTAAATATGGTAAAGTTAATAAAAATATATTGAGATCCCAGAAGATAATAGGATTGTAACAAATAATGTGATGCAATACAAATACAGTATTACAACTTTTATTGTGATTTTTGTAAAATCCTAAGTATCTTTGACTTATGTTTTGGTTGAATATGTCTTCCTTTTTGTTAGATACAATCCTAAAAATTTTAGAGCTATGAACGCCGAATGAAAGAATCCCCTTCTTTTACAGCAAAGGAAACTGAAGGCCATAGAGAGTAGGTAACTTGTGTAGGATCATACAGATTCATCAGTTAGAACTGGATTGTAGCCCCTAACTCAGTCTAAGGCTATGAACTATACCTGGAAATAGGGAGATGTATAGACATGTTTAATTCATAATTCAGAGCGACATTGGCTAGGTACCAGAAAGAAAATAATTGCTTTATCATAATCAACATATATTTGTTCAGCAGCTTTTATGTGCAAGACACTTGGTTATAATGCCTACAGAGAATGCAGAGAGGCAAAAACATGACACTCACTTTTTTAAAGAGTCTGGGTTGCCCAGGTGATCCACATGCCCAAAGAGCTGTGATTACAGGCATGAGCCACTGCACCTGGCTGACACTTAACTTTTTTTTTTTTTTTTTGACTCAGTTTGGCTCCTGTTGCCCAGGCTTGAGTGCAGTGGCTCGGTCTTAGCTCACTGCCACCTCCGCCTTCCAGATTCAGGTAATTCTTCTGCCTCAGCCTCCTAAGTAGCAGGGATTACAGGTGTGTGCCACTACGCCTGGCTGATTTTTGTATTAGTAGAGATGGGTTTCGCCGTGTTGATCAGACTGGTCTCGAACTCCTGACCTCAGGTGATCTGCCTCCTAAAGATAACTAATTGACAGCTGTGAAAGAGTAATGAAAATTTGTGAATTCCTGTTGACTTCATGAGATACTATTTAATAATACTTTTTTTTTTTTTGAGGTGGAGTCGCTCTGCCACCCAGGCTGGGGTGCAGTGGTGTGATCTTGGCTCACTGCAACCTCTGCCTCCCAGGTTCAAGCGATTCTCCTGCCTTAGCTTCCTGAGTAGCTGGGAATACAGGTGTCTGCCACCACGCCCAACTAATTTTGATGTTTTTAGTAGAGATGGGGTTTCACCATGTTGGCCGTAGTTGACCAGGCTGGACTTAACCTGACCTCAGGTGATCTGCCTGTGTTGGCCTCCCAAAGTGCTGGGATTACAGGCATGAGCTACCACACGTTAATAATACTTTATTAAATTTAACTGTCGTTTGAAGTCTTAAATTTTGTGTGAAGAGATGGGAAGTATACAGTACTTCTGCTGCATACAGAATTATGTTGACTGTTTTGAGGAAAAGCACTTGTGTAATTTCTGAGTTGCAAAATGCACTATATAGTTTTTTCCATGGAAATGATTTTTACTTAACAGAACAACTCACAGATAATCATACCTACTCAAATTTGGGTATTTGGCAGATAGTTTTTTGAAAATGAATGAAAAAAGCCTGTCATTTCAAGGAAAACAACTCAAAGTATTTGTTGCCAGTAATAACATTTGAGCCTTCAAAGTGAAAACGAGAAATTTGGAAAATCTGTATCTGCCACCATGAGCTTGAAGCTTCCCAGTACTTAAAAACTTTTTTTGATGAGATAAGTGGTGACAGTCATGAATGTGAACGTTTGCTATTATATCATGAAATGTGTCAACATTTGAAAAGTCTGTGTAACTCAGTAAACCATATTTTCTAAATATTTCATGGATTGATGTTACAAATTATGTGTTGGTAAAAGATGCCTTTCAAAGTGCAAGTCAGACCAATGGATTTCAGTGTTAACAGTATGAAAAATTCATTGATATGAGTTCAGATTCCTTGTTGCAACTGACCTTAAAGAAACAACCCATCTGTTAGGTTTTGGCATAGTATCAAAGAAGAATATCTACAATTATCTGAAAATGCTGCTAAAATACTTCTCTTTTCTAACAACATATCTGTGTGAAGCCGAATTTTCTTTATACACTTCAACCAAAACAACATATTGCAGTAGATTGGATGCAGCAGTAGATATGCAAATGCAACTGGCTTCTACTAAGCCAGACATTGAGGAATTAAAAAATGTAAAACGTGCTACTTTTCTCACTGATTGTTTTTAGACTATATAGTTATTTTGCATGAAATGTTGTTTATGTTAACATCTAATGGGTTTATTATTTTTAAATGAACTAATACACATTTTTGAAATGTCTCAGTTTTAATTTCTAATATGGTAAATATTGATAGATACAACCCATGTAAATGATGGCTCTTTAGGATCTTTAATTTCTGAGAATATAAAGGGATTACAAGACTAAAATTTTTGAAAACTACTTCCCTAAGTTCCATTTTCATGGTCAGAGGTGGCTTACCTTCACCACATGTATATTCTATCCAGAGCAAAGGGAAAGAGGAAGACAAGCTCCTTTTCTTTTTAAGGAAGGTATTTTTATCACTCTTATACACATCCAGTCCCCAGAACCCCTGCAGAAGTTGGATGGCCATATGTAATGTTTAGCTGGATGATCCTGTGTTCAGCTGAGACTTCTGTTATTGTAGGAAAAATGGAGAACTATTGGCATTTGTTTCTACCACTGGGTGGTGTCTGGATTAAAAAAAAAACCGTTATAACTGCTATTTTTATGATGTCTTAAAGTTTTATCTCATTTCATATTTCTTTTTTCTTTTTCAAGATGGAGTCTCACTCTTGTTGCCCAGCCTGGAGTGCAATGGCATGATCTTGGCTCAGTGCAGCCTCCGCCTCCCAGGTTCAAGTGATTCTCTTGCCTCAGCCTCCCGAGTAGCTGGGATTACAGGCACATGTCACCATGCCCAGCTAATTTTTTTGTATTTTTAGTAGAGAGGGGGTTTCACTATGTTGGCCAGGCTGATCTCGAACTCCAGACCTCAGGTGATCCACCCCCCTCAGTCTCCCAAAGTGCTGGGATTACAGGCTAACAATCTGGTAGTTAATGTGATTTTAGACAGTGCAGAATGGAAGCCCAGACTCTATTTAGGACTTAAGGCACAATGATGTATGTAGTAAAGGAATATTGAACTTTGGAGTCAAACATTCTTGGATTTAAATCCAGACTACTGATTCAGGATTTATTAATGTGTGAACTGAGACAATCCTCCTGAGCTTCTCTATCCTCGTTTATAAAATGAGTTTGTAATGGCATACCTAGCAGGATTATTTTTTGGCTCATTCGAGATAAAATATGTAAAGCGTTTGGTTCATGGTGATTCTTCAAGAAATGTGGCTCCTTCTGTCTCACCCTTTGTTCTCTCCATTCCATGGTAACAGTGCTACTCCTATGTAAGTATACATTTTAATAACAGCAGAGGGCCATGTGATTAATCGCTAAGCAAACGATAGAGGTGGTAATTGATATGAATTCAGAGGTAGATGAGATCATTGTAGACTGAAAGGGTTCTTAGAATCTGAAATTTGAGTAGAACTGGAAGGATGCGCATCTTGCTTGAAAAGCTGAGGAAGGGGCTGGGCCTCCCAAAGTGCTGGGATTAGAAGGGGTCACAGTGGCTCACACTTGTAATCCCAGCATTTTGGGAGGCCGAGGCGGGTAGATCACTTGAGGGCATGAGTTCGAGACCAGCCTGAGCAACATAGAGAAACCCCCATCTCTACTGAAAAGTACAAAAAATTAGCCAAGTGTGGTGGCGTGCGCCTGTAATCCCAGCTACTAGGGAGACTGAGGCAAGAGAATCGCTTGAACCTGGGAGGCGAGGTTTCGGTGAGCCGAGATCACGCCATTGCACTCTAGCCTGGGCATCAAGAGCGAAACTCTGTCTCAAAAAAAAAAGAAAAGCTGAGGAAGGAAGAAAAGGCATTTCAGGTGAGTGGAGTAACAAGCAAAACCCTGAACTAGGAATCCCTAAGGCAGTAAGTAGATCATTCTAGTTAGGCGAAGGCATCAGTTAGATTTTAGCAGAATTCAAGAGTGTAAAAATAATGGGTGACAGTGGGAAAATCCCTGAGAAGTAGATAGGTGCTGTGGATGAGTTAAGAACAGTTACAGGCTCTGTTCTAATAGAAAGATGAGACTTTACAGAACACTTTCTAACACATGGTACAAAAAGTGAAAAGTACCATAAAAGATATATAGAGTAAATGCTGTAAGAGTTCATGAGGAAGGAAGATTACTTCTGGCAGTGGGAACTGGGGGCTGTATAGTGAATTCTGCACTTGTTTGAATTTCACTTATGCTTATTCTCAATGAAAATATTAACTATACAGTTTAAGTATTTACCACAAACAAGAGATAAGACTATTGTAGAAAAATAGAATTTTATTGTTGAAAACCCCTGAAATTTTTTTGCATGGTTTTTGGCATCCAAATTTGTATTGATGAGTTTTCATAATAGGGCCCTTTAAAAGTAGTACACTTACTTCCTGGAATTTTGGAAAGAGGAAATGCTAATAGAGTTACTAGAATCAGCATGAAGAAATTATATTATGAATTCTGATAAACACCTCTGAAGCTTATTAATTGCATGTTAAAACATTCTTTTACTTTATAAATGATAAGAAAGAGTACATCATCTATATTGATAACTTGTCTTACACTTAGTCTAGGAAATGTAACCATTTATCACAGTTTTTCTCTTACAGTATTAGATAATAGTTGTTTTATGCAGTAAACCAAAGTAGCCTGTATGTAAAGTTTGATTCTGGTTGTTTTTTGTTTGTTTGTTTGCTTTTGCAAAAAATGCTAAATTTTGCTGTTCCATATAGATGCAAATATTTTCCAACCTATAGTTAATAAATATACATAATACATTTGAAAAGGAAAAGTTTCCCAGATATTTCTTTGAAAAATAAGTTCTTGATTTTTCCCTCCCTCATTTAGGTCAAAGTTGGAAATTGCAATACTCCTAAACCAAGCTTCTTTGATTTTGAAGGAAAGCAAAAATGGTAAGAAATACTTGGAATCTTTAATGAGGTTGTTGGAAGTGGTTTAGGTGTGGAGGAATTAGAAAGCAGTGAGCTGATTAAAGAATTATTTTTATATTAATCTCTCTCTGCTGTAGACTGTACTAATGACAGGTAATTGGGAGAGAGATTAAAGAAATCTACTTTTAGCTAAGTCTCCTGAAGGATTCTTATGCTCACATGTTGGAATATAAGTGGTTCACAACAGACCTACAAACATGCCTTACATTTTGATACGTGAGAGAGCTCTTGCTTGAGATTTTCCCTTCCTGTCATTCAGCCACTAATGGATCACCACTTCTCCCCACCCCCCGGAGGGATCTTTGGAAGCAGGCCAGAATGACAGGAAGGGCAGAAGAGCAGGATAAATCCCCATTTTTTACCCTTCTCCCCTGTCTCAATTTTATCTCCTTGTCTCTTGCTACTCTTGTGTTCCTTGCCCCACCCATGCCATGGTAAATAAGTGCATATAGTACTCCTGGGAAAAAGGGGGGAAAATTCAATGAGAAACCAAAACTAGATACTAACTTCGCTTTTTCTTTGAATACATGAAAAAAAGATTAATCTTCTGCAAACTTTTTAAACTTACAATTTAGAACTTTCCTCTTGTCATTTATGAGACCTTATCTTCTCTTACCTTGTCTAAGTGAAAAAAGAGAAATTGCATACAACTGGGAATCTTAGTTATAGAAGGGAAGGCTTTGGAGCATCAGCCCTGGAATTAAAAGAAGGTTAGAAGGTAGAGTTAAAAAAGATAAAATATGGTTATGGAAAGAGGAAGTGCTAAAATATGGGTTCTGACCTTATATTCTAGAACAGTCCCACACAAAATCTGGTCCCCTTGATAAACTTCCTGCCTGCCAACAGTTTGTTACTCAAATGTAAGGAGATACAGGGCTTGGACCCATATATAAATCACTGATGTCACTAACCATACTGTTTAGTTCAGCTGATATATTTTTGTGTAGGACAGTCTCAGTGCAGGAAGCAGTGCACTGATTATATCCTTGCACAAGTTTTTTGATTGATGATAACCAGCAGTTCTCTGGCATTTTATTACTATTCTAAAGAATACCTGATGTTAACTTTTACTGTGAGTTTTTTGTTATAATTTATGAAATTTTATGGCTTCTTTTTTTTCTATACTTTGCCTGTTTCTCCATTGTTTTTAGCAATTAAGAACATTAGATTTTATAGCCATCATAATAATAGTTTAGGCAAGAACATCAACAAATGCTAAAACGGTAGATGCAAAATACTGGGGAAATATTGGGGAAAAACTATTGAAGAAAACCGTTTTTAAAATGCTAGTTGAAAAACTACAGGGGAGCAAAACTGTAGGTTACAGGCTGACCCACAGTTTACTTTTTAATTATGAGGGAGAAACCTGACAGATACTCCCTTCACCAAGCCATGAGTGTTATTGATGATGGGACAGACTGACTGATGCATCAGATTACAGTGTATCAGACCAGCGATGTGCATTATAAAGGGCATGTCACCTATATATGGCTCTGCTGAAATAATTTAACCTGGTTCTAATTATGATTAACCATTTTTGGCAAGAACACTATGTAGATGGGGAAACAATTAGACAAATTCAAATTGAGGGATATTTTATAAAACAGTTGGACTCTTAATACCAACAATATGGAAGACAAAAAAGCTAAAGATACATGAAACTCAATGCTGTGTGTGGATTTTGATTGGTTCCTGGTGTGGGAGAAGAAAGCCATAAAGGACATTATTGGGACAATCAGGAAAATCTGAATGTATAGTCTCTATAATAGTATTGATGATAAAATTGATGATAAATTTCCTGAGTTTGTGTAAACTGATCTATTTAGGGATGAAGTGTTATGGTGCATGTAAGTAACTTGCAAGGAATCAGTGAAAATAAATTTAGAAGACCTTAGAAAAATGTATTCATTATAGAAGCAGGAAGGTAATGAAAAAAATGTGGGACTGAGTTCTGTTTGACAGTGAATCAAGAAAATAGGGAAACCCTGGTTGGAATTAGAAATAATTGGCAGGGAAAAACCAAGAAGGAGGCCTGTCCTAGCAGCCTGCAGGAAAAAAAAGAAAGAAAAAAAGGTGACCCAAAAGGGAGCTGACGACTAAAATGTCGCTTTTTGACATTTATACCGTAGGAAGTCCCTAACTTACTAATTAGTATTCTTTTGTTGTTGTTGTTGTTTTGAGACAGAGTCTTGCTCTGTTGCCCAAGCTGGAGTGCAGTGGTGCCATCTCAGCTTACTGCATCCTCCACCTCCCAGGTTCAAGCAATTCTCCTGCCTCGACCTCCCGAGTAGCTGGACTACAGGTGTGCACCACCATGCCCAGCTAATTTTTGTATTTTTAGTAGAGACGGAGTTTCACCATGTTGACCACGCTGGTCTCAAACTCCTGATTTCAGGTGATCCACCCACCTGAGCCTCCCAAAGTGCTGGGATTACAGGTGTGAATCATTCCTTACTTTTGAAGTCCCAGACTAAGTCCTCAGGATCAGTTAATTGTAGCTTATAGATGAGATAGCAGAAAGGGAAGGTGGATTTCTTGTATCTTAAGAAGTTTGATCCATTTTCCTCAGGAATATGTTTTTTATGTGATGGTTTCTATACGATCAAAATGCCATAAGCACAGTTAGTTTATAAGATGAGAACAATCTCTATTAGCCTGTAGACCATACATTCTCAATAGGTGTGAAAATTGGTTTGAGGGAGTGACAAAATCTTAGATTACAGTGGTTTGTAGTCTTTCAACATTTAATAGATATGCAGTGTATCTGTGTCACTAAAATTTCATAGGGGTGGGTGATTAGGAAAAAAAATGTTTGAAAAGGCTTCTTAGGTAGGGCAATAAAGTCTGTATAGCTCTAGACCAATGTACATGCAGAAAGACAGAACTCCTCTATCCAATAGTTTATTACCTCTATATCCCAAGACCCTTGAAATGTGCATACAATTTTTTTAATAATAAGAAAAATGCTGTTTGTGTTATTTGCATAGTTAATGACAGGCCATTTTGGGTATTCCATATTGTAGGGAAGCATGGAAAGCACTTGGTGATTCAAGCCCCAGCCAAGCAATGCAGGAATATATCGCAGTAGTTAGAAAACTAGATCCAGGTTGGAATCCTCAGGTAAGACTTAATTCTTGTAAACAATACTTTCTAAAAACTTAACGATCTTTCTCTGAAATAAGTGTTTAAACCTAAGCTTAGTTTTAAGTAACATGCTTTAAGTTTTACTTTCTTGAAAGAATATAAGATTATTGTAATATTTATCTAATAAAATAATTGCTGGCTGGGTGTGGTGATTCGTGCCTGTAATCCCAGTACTTTGGGAGGCCAAGCTGGGTGGATCACCTGAGGTAAGAGTTCAAGACCAGCCAGGCCAACATGGCAAAACCTTGTCTCTACTAAAAATACAAACATTAGCCGGATGTGATGGTATACACCTGTCATCCCAGCTACTCGTGAAACTGAGGCAAGAGACTCTCTTAAACCTGGGAGACTGAGGCTGCAGTGAGCCAAGATCAGACCACTGCACTCCAGCCTGGACAACAGTGTAAGACTCCATCTCAGAAAAATTAAAAACATTAATAATAATTATTTAAATAGTAACATAACCAGCTACTGATACTGAGAGCTTTTCTGAGTTGCAGAGTTTTTGAAAGCAGAAAAATTTGAATTATGTAAGAATTGGAAAAAGTTTAACTTGAGATTATCATGCTGGAAAAAAGAAAGTTACTCTTGGATTTCTTTTTTATGATCCCCTTCTATGCAAGGACAAAATGCTTCTTATTAGGGATACAAGATGAATAAGACATGATTTCTGCCATTATGTAGTTTAAAGTATAGAGAAGATAAAACATAGCAAAAATATATCTTTAATACTATAAAGCAATAATAATGTAAATGCTAGGGAATCCAGCAGGAAAAGAGATTGCTTTGGACTTTGGAAGCATTGGATGTTGTTTACTTAAATGTACCCTGTTTTTCTGATATGCTTATTGGAGAACATCTAGAAAGAATTTAATAAAGGAGGGGTTACTATTTAAGAATATTGTTAAATGATTAACAGGTATTTCAGTGAGATAGAGGCTGCATTGTACCATGTAAAAAATGCAAATTGAATTTTTTCAATAAAAATAGGCCAGGCCAGACGTGGTGGCTCATGCCTATAATCCCAGCACTTTGGGAGGCTGAGGTAGGTGGATCACGAGACCATCCTGGCCAACATGGTGAAAACCCGGTCTCTCCTAAAATACAAGTTAGCTGGGTGTGGTGGTGCACCCCTGTAGTCCCAGCTACTCAGGAGGCCGAGGCAGGAGAATCACTTGAACCCAGGAGGCGGAGACTGCAGTGAGCTGAGATCACACCACAGTGCTCCATCCTGGGCAACAGAGTGAGACTCTTCCCCTCCCCCCCCAAAAAAAATTAGGCCAAACATTTTAGCAGTTAATGAATTTAACAAGTTTTAATGTTTTTGTAATAATTACATAATTGCATGGGTACATAGTTGTTACTGGTATGAAGGAATTGTTGCATTAATCGTAGAATCTTAAAAATGTCAGACTTGTTAGGAACTTTAAAAGATTATATGTTATGACATATTAAAATGTATCTTAAGAGTACAAAGTGGGAGAGATAACCAACTTTGGATATCTTTAATGATATGACTGCCTTTTAGAAGTCATTGAAAAATTTCCTTTTTTTTGGTGACAGGGTCTCACTACTCTATCACCCAGACTGGAGCACAGTGGCAGGATCTTTGCTCACTGTATCCTCTACCTCCCAGGTTCAAGTGATTGTCCCACTTTAACTTTGGGACTACAGGTGCACACCACTACACCTGGCTAATTTTTGCTGTGTGTGTGTGTGTGTGTGTGTGTACATACACACACAAACTATATATATACAACAATACAAAAATGGCTAATTTTTTTTTGTGTATATACACACACACACACACACACACACATATTTTTTTTAAGTAGAGATACGGTTTTGCCGTGTTGGCCAGGCTGGTCTTGAACGCCTGACCTCACATGATCCACCTGCCTCAGTCTCCCAAAGTGCTGGGATTATAGGTGTGAGAAATTTCCTTATGTGTCTGATGTGCGTGAGTGTTCATTTTCAGAAATTTTCTATTATCTTTTATAAGATACTAAATATACATACAATTATGTATCTCAAGGTTCTGAGGGCTTAAAATCTGAAAATCAGTGGTCAAAACAGGTACCCCTGAGTTGAACTGAACCTGAACATTTGTGACACAATGTTTAAAAATGAAACAAAACTCGAATGTGAGTGCCTTTAGGCAGAGTATTTTTTAGGTCCACTCATTGTGGTCTCATTCTTCCCTATGCTATTGCTGATACTTGGCCTATGAAGGCATTTGAGTTTATAAATTCTGATAAATGACAGAATTTATGATTTCTTACCTTAAGTACTTTAATAAAATTTTGCTGTTACTCTTAAAAATGTTTGCAGGCTGGGCATGGTGGCTTATGCCTATAATCCCGGCATTTTGGGAGGCCCAGGCAGTTGGATCACCTGAGGTCAGGAGTTTGAGTCAGCCTGACCAACATGGTGAAATCTCATCTCTACTAAAAAATGCAAAAATTAGCTGGGCATTTTGGCAGGTGCCTGTGGTCCCAGCTACTTGGGAGGCTGAGGCAGGAGAATCGCTTGAACCCAGGAGGCAGAGGTTGCAGTGGGCGGAGGTTGCAGTGAACTGAGATCACGCCATTGCACTACAGCCTGGGCAATAGAACAAGACTCCATCTCAAAAGAAAAATGCTTGCAGATTCCATGCAGTTAAGTAGTTCTTTACAGAAATCCAAACAGGTGTTAAGGATGTTTTTTAAAAATGTCTGAATCTCACCTATTGAACATAATATACTTGAGTAAACCAAGCAGAACCAAAGGTACTTTCATATTCTTTAATGAATTCTTTAATACATTAAATAATAAACTTTAAAAAATCAATACATTGTTTAAAACATTAAATAACATTAAAAGAATACATAACATACTATTCTAAAAGTATTTTAACATTGGAATCTAGTGGAAGGGGGAATTTTATGTTTTATTTACATTTTAACTTTTAAACACTGAGCCGGTCCCCTTTGACTCATAGCTTTTTCTTTTATCTTTACTTTTAGAAAGAGGCAGATCATAGCCTCCATGTCAGAAGAGATTCGGCATTCAGTTCATTATCTTTTAGGTTAAATAATACTTTTCTTTTGGTATTCTAAAAAAAATAAGAACAACATTCATTCTGAATGTGCTGAGTTGTTTTTTTTTTTTTTTTTGAGATGGAGTCTCTCTCTGTCACCCAGGCTGGAGTACAGTGGCACAATCTTGGCTCACTGCAACCTCCATCTCCCAGATTGAAGCATTTCACCAGCCTCAGCTTCCTGAGCAGCTGGGATTACAGGCATGAGCCACCGCACCTAGCCTGAATGTGCTGAGTTCTTTTCATGTATTGTTCTTTGATATCTTCACAAAAAGTCTTCACAGTTAGAAACTATTATAATGTGTATTTTTAAAATGAGGAAATGCAGGCTCAGAGAGATGTAGTAACTTGCCTGAAATTAGCCAGCGAAGGTGAGTGTGACTCACTCCTGTAATTACAACACTTTGGGAGGCTGAGGCAGGAGGATCACTTGAGGCCAGGAGTTTGAGAGCGCCCTGGGCAACAAAGCAAGACCCTATCTCTGTTTAAAACAAACAAACAAAATTAGCTGGACACAGTGTTGTGCACCTGTAGTCTCAGCTACCTGGGAGGCTGAGATGGGAGAATCCATCGAGCCCAGGAGTTCAAGTTTGCAGTCAGCTGTGATTGCACCACTGCACTCCAGCCTGGGTGACAGAGCGAGACCCAAGCGAGACCCCATCTCAAAAAAAAAAAAAAAGGCCAGGTGCAGTGGCTCACACCTGTATGTAATCCCAGCACTTTGGGAGGCCAAGGCAGGCAGATCACAAGGTCAAGAGATCGAGACCATCCTGGCCCACATAGTGAAACCCCGTCTCTACTAAAATATAAAAATTAGCTAGGCGTGGTCATGCGCGTCTGTAGTCCCAGCTATTCGGGAGGCTGAGGCAGGAGAATTGCTTGAACCCAGAAGGCGGAGGTTGCAGTGAGCCAAGACTGTGCCACTGTACTCCAGCCTGGGGCCTGGCGACAGAGCGAGACTCTGTCTCAAAAAAAAAAGCCGGCCAAGAAATGATGGCACTGGGATTTAGGCCTATGTTTATATGAGTCCAGAGCCCTGTTGTTAACCACTCTGCTCTCTGTTTTAGAGATGATACTGGAAATATATCTGTAAGGTGTAAACTTAAGAATATGTGTAAAAAATTCAAGGTAGCTATCATTTTAATCAAAGCTCTGTGGTACCTTGAGGTATAAAACAGTGCTTTAAAATTCAGCTTTAAAAATGACTATGTTTTCTGTTATGTGTTTCATCTTATCTCAAGAATATGTTGTTCAGTGTCTACTGTAATCAAGGCAATTATTTTGCCTTTGTGGGGGGAGTTAAGTTTTTGTTTTGATTTTTTTTTTTTTAATTTTGAATAATATAAGGAACTTCTGTAAGGCCTTTGTCTAGATTTACCACTAGTTATATTTGCTTTATCATTCTCTTTTCTTCACATAGACACATATTTATATAACACATACACACACACACACACACACACACACACGTCCACACGTGAATAAATACATTTTTTCCAAATTGTTTGAGATAAGTTGGAGACATCATGTTCCTTTATCACTGATGCAGGATTTTTTTTCACTAAGAAAAAGAACCTTTTCTTATGCAGTGGTTCCCACTTATCCTCAGGGGATCCATTCCAAGACCCCCAGTGAGTACCTGAAACTGTGGCTGGTACTAACCTGACTGCTGTCAGTTGGAAAATGTTTCTGTTCATGTCTTCAGTCCCAACAGCAAATGTTTTTTTCTTCCTAAGTAGTTCTGTTGCATTATGGCTGTCACTTTTTGTAGTTTCTGGTGTGACAGGAAAACTAGCACAAGCTTTCTTTCCTTCACAATTTCATGGATAGAAGATTTGTTCTTGCTATAGATCTTAGCAACTTCAGCATACTATTTTTTTCTTGAGAACTTTCTACA